AAATAAAACAGCTTCCACGCGGAGAAAATGGTTTCGCGCCAGGCGTTTTCTGAAACAGCAATCCAGGCCCAGGCATACGAGAATTCGACTCGTACACAAGTCCAAGGAAACGCCCATGGTCCAGCACAGATCCTTGATGCTCGTGAACCAATTGTGGAGCCCATGACGGTTGCTGCGTGTTCTAACGATTACCGAGGGGTGCAAGATAAGACGTGCCCCCTCCCCACCCACCCGACTCCCCGTATCTCGAGACCTCACCAAGGGCCGGCCAAACAAAGGCAGACTCTCCGCGGGGCCTCGCGGCCAGCGAGCACCACCTCCGCCCTCTCCTGGAAGGCCGCGAAGGTCGAGCGCAGCTCCAAGTCAGCTCGCCAAGGCGGAGCTGCCGTCGACCCTGGTCGCCGGGCCGATGGCGACGAACTCCTCGTTCATCAACGCGTCTGCCTCGACGTTTTCTGCGCGCCTCCTCCAATCGAGGCCCACGTCGAGCCCGAGCGCCGTCAAGCGACTCGACGGATCCACGGCTACCGCGCAGAGCGGCCACTCCGTCGCCATCCAGCGGCGAACCCCTAGCCGCGCGCGCCCACGGATAAGGACACCCGACGAAGGCGAACGCCGTTGCGCGGGGCGTCCTCCACGAGCAGGACGACGCCGAACACAGCCGCCAGATGCACCAAGCTCGCGATCGCCTCGAAGGGGGCGCCGCGCGCGAACGCCCATCGGGCGTCGCCCCGCGTCGACGCCCACGAGAACCACCTCGCCGCCCACGTCGAAAGAGCCGCCCCAGTCGCCCAGCAGCCGACGACGATCAGGTCGCCCCCCACCTTCGCATCGATCCGGAAGAGCTCGCCCTCGTCCGCCAGCGCCAGGCGGACTTAAGGGGCGCATGTCGCGCTCGCCGATGCGGCCCCCGACCCACCTCAGCGAGAGGCGAACCACCGCTGGCGCGGGCGCGCAGGCCCCGCGAGGGCAAGCAGACACCCACGAGCACGAACGCACGAAGAACGCTCGCACATGCACCAGAGGTCCTTCCGCGAAAGCGAGCCTCCGAAATCCCTCGCGCATCCGCCCCAAGAGCACGACCGCCGTCTTGGACACCACCGTCTACTGCCCTGCCTGATGGCCCACTCGCGGCGCCCGACGGAGATGCCCAGCTCGACCCCCGTCGAAGATGCGGTAGCAAACCCAATCGACCTCGACGCCGCCGCGGAGCCTCCCCGCCGCCAGCGGAAGGCCCACGACCACCAGAATCAGGAGGGCGGCGAGGAGCTTCCGCTCAAAGCCCCCGCCGCTCGCCAGCACGAGGCCGTCGTCCGCGCAAGCCTAGTGGCAGACAGCCAGGGCAAAGATCCCGGCCAATAAATCGCCCGCGCCTCCCACGCCGAGGGCGCCCGCCGCGTTCGCCGGCACCCACTTGCCGCCGCCCTCGACGTCGCGATTGTCGACCCCAGGCGGGAAGCATGCCTGCCAGCCCCATGCCCCTCGCGCGCGGGGCTCTGCCGGTGCGCCTTGGAGAAGCCGTGCAGGAGCAAGAACCCCACTGGCTCGCCCGTCTCATGGGCCGCGCCCAGGACCGAGACCGCGCCCTGCCAAGCTTGGGGCCATGCCTGGTCCAGCACCTCAATCTCGTGGTTGACATGCGCACGGTGCGCCACGTCGAACACCGCGCGCCACTCGTCGACGCCCACCGCCTTCTGGGCCGCAGCCAAGGCAGCCGCCGCCTTGCGGCCGGGCCGATGTCGCCCTAAGCACCCGCCCCGTGCGCGAACTCCTCGTGCAAGTGGCCGGCGATCGCGTCGGCGCGATCCTGCACCAACGCGCCATTACCGGCCCGCTGGCCACCTGCCGCGAACTCCTCCTCCGCCACGCCCGGCAACGCCCCATTCACCTTCCGCTCGCACACCGCGGGAGCCCGCAGGACTTCGAACGCCCGCCCCGAGAGGGGCGCCCCTGGCGGCGAGGGCCGCAACGGAGGCATCCGGGCCCTTGAAGGCCTTCACCAGCGCCTGCACTAGCTGCAACAACGCGGGCGCGGCACGATCACCAGGACGAGGAAGGTGCTCGCTCGCACGAGGCGCACCCCAGCAACAGCCGCACGCGCGCCCTGAACTTCGCGACCACCGTCGCGGAAAAGACGCGGCACTCAGTCTCGCCCATCGCGCGCTCGAAGAGGAAGCGGCGAAGGGGCGGCAGGCCCTGCCCAGGCTGCTGCTTCTCGAGGCCGTTGCCCGCCCCAGGCCCGACAACGCCATGTCGAACGCCGCCCGAAGCTCGGCTGGGATCTCCGACAAAGGAAAGCGCCGCGCCGTCGGAGCCCACAAGCCTGCGCCATCTTCGATGCCGCGATCGCCTCGCCTGGCCCGGGCCTGCAGGGGCCCTTAACTGCCTCCCCGGCCGTCGCCGCGCTGGCCTGGAGTGCCGATGTCGCCGCTGTCCAATCTAGGCTCGCCCCCCCTGCCGGCGCGGCCCCCGAACGATGCGACGGTCGCGTCCGCTCGGAACTTCTCGCGGGGCCCGCAGCGGCAGAGCACGCGCTTCCCCCGCGGCCCGGGTAGTTGAGCCAGAAGAGCTGCAGCACATTCCAGGTGCTACGCGAAGGAGTTCACCACCAGGTCGCCCAGGCATAGCCTGCGAGATCTCCCGCGGGCCACTCCGAGGTGACCTTCCAAGACCCCTCGCGCCGCGGCCCCCGCCGACGCGGACGTCGCCGCCCCCCGACGCACTGACGTCCTAAACCTGCGCGCGCGACGGGGCTGGGCCCCCGCGAAGAAGCCCCCCCGTCCGCGGGGGCGCGCGCGGGGCCCCGGCGCCCGCCAACATGGCCCCCGCAGCGCGATCTACCAGTTCTCCCCGTAGTTCTCGCCGTCAGGACGGCGGCCGTCTCGGAGGGCACCATCTCACGGCCGCCGCCGGGCGTGACGAGGGCCCGCCTTTCCGGCGGGGCAGGCCCCAGCGGGCCAGGGCGCCAGCCCTCCCGGTCGACGGTCAGTCAGCCCATGGCCCGGCCCGCTGCGAGCGCGACGACGTCCGCGAGGAAGCGGACGGGCTCGGGGCAGGACTTGGAACGCGAACATCAGGAAGCCAGCCCCTGCCCTCGCCAGGACTCGAAGCTGCTGCAGTTGCCAGAGGCTCGCCGGTCGCCCGCTTGCGAGCTGGCCAGGGCGGCGGACCCCTAAGTCCACTGGGAACTCCGCGAGACCTCGCACCCGCAGGCCGCGCCCCTGGGCCGCCGCCGCCGCCTCGAGCACCTCGGCCGCGAGGAGGACGAGCGCGCTGGCGCCCTCAACCTTCCCTGGGACGCACAGAGACATACGAGTACTATATGTCATCCTTGGAGGCGCGCGTCCGAGACGAACATATAGCACACCCATGTCGCAGCACATCGTTTTCCGAGCGGCGTGGCCAGAAGGCGCCCGCCACGACGCGTACGCCATAAGATTTTTCGGCGCGCGCGTCGCCAATGGGGGGCGACGCACATATAGTAGAAGCACGTTGGGGCGGCGCCGATTCCTTCGAGCCAGGGGGAGCCCAACGGCCAACGTTCCCCAGCGGTGGAGGGCCCTGCCGGTTGGCGAAGAGCGCCCGCGAGAACGCGCCGCAGGGCGGAGCGGCGATCGCCGCGTCGCAGCACCCCGTCCTGCAGATGTCGCAAACAAGCGTCGCCGCACAGCAGGTCGTCGTCGCGCGCGCCCACATCCAGCGCCTCCACCTACAAGCCCGACGACGGCGCCCTTACAGGCGCGGCCTCGACGAAGCACTCCCCGATGCTGGCCCTGCGCGAGAAGCCCGAGAGCAGGTCCAGCACCGCCAGCGACACCCCAGCCGCCGGCGACGCGGCTGGCTCCGAGCGAATCTCGCCAGGTTGCGTCGGCAGCGCGAGCTGGCGGGGCCACTTGCTGGCCACCGCGCCGATCTACGTGGCCAACGCGATCTCAGAACGCACGGGCAGGACCACTACCCCGTCACCACGCCGTTCCATCGCCGTCTGGCGGGCCCACTGGCCCGCCACCTCTGCGTCGCCAGCCTAGTGGAGCCCGCGCGGGCCCAGCCGCGCCTTCAAGATCGCGTGCTTCGCGGGGAAAAGAGCCCGTCCCCCTCTCGCCGACGGGGGGCGGGCAACCAGCCGCATGCGACGAGGCGGCCCCCCCTTCAGGCGAGCCAACTCATGAGAAAAAACAGCGTCAGCGGCAAGTGCCGGCGGACTGCGCCGCCGGGGGCAGCCGCGCCGCCGCGCTCGCTTCGTCGGCGGGGCGTCTCCACCACAGCAGCGAGCGCCGAGGGCCCCGAGGAGCGGCCACCTCCGCCAGCACTGCGGCGGACGACAACATGATCGACGGCCCAGGCAGATCCGGCACGCGCGGGCCACGCCGCAGCCGCCCTGGCCGCCCCTGCGCTCGCCGTTGCACGCGAAGCAAATGTTCTTTCCGTGCCTGCTGGAGGAGCGCGTCGCCCTTGAACTTGCCGTGCCCTGGCTCGTGCCGCGGGGGCTGCCCCGGCCGCCCCCTCGGCGCCGAGTCGCGCCGTTGCTGCCCTGGGGCGCTCTGCGCGGGCTGCGCGAGCGACCCTCTGCGGGCCCCCCCACTGCCGCCTACGCCGCCACCTGAGTCGCGAAGTGGCGGCCCTGAGCGACGCCCCCTGCCGGGCGCCCCATCAGCGCCTCCGAGAACGGCTTGCCGAAGTTGATCAGCCCCACGCGCCCCACGCGGACCCCGCAGTCGCAATGGGGGGCCAGGGCCCAGGCCGGACGGCCGATGTCCGCGCCGCTCGCGCCCCTAGCCACCGCCCCCTGGACGCGCGCGCCCAGAACGTACTCCGCACTCGCCACAGAGCTCGATAGACCCCGCCCTGACGGCGACGCGGCCAGGCTGACGGAGACGCGCGTAGACGCGCGCGAAGGCCGGCGCTCGCGTCGGAAGGCATCTAGGCCCAGTGGCACGCTGATATCTGTTCTGCCCCGCTTCGGCCCGATGACCCCAAAGTTGCCCACCGCCGCGCCCTGCGTCGCGTCGCCGCCGCCCTCCGCGCGCACCACCGGCGACAGCGGGGCCACTCGGCGGCCGCCTCGCCGATCTGCGCCGCCAGCAGGCGGGGATTGCGCGGGCGCAGCCGCGCCTTCACGACCACGCGATCCATGAGGAACTGAGCCCGCCCCGCACTCGCCGACGTGGAACGGCAAACAAGCCGCCTGCGACGAGAGGCCCCCCCTTCAAGCGGGCTACATTCATCAAGAACGACGCCAGCAGCAAAAGCCGGCGGGCTGTCGGCGCCAGGCGGCGAAGCGCAGGCTGCCGCGCCGACGGGGGCAACCACGCCGCCGCGCTCGCCCCGTCACTGGGGCGCCCCCCCCCCCCCCGCGGCGAGCGCCGAGGGCCTCGAGGAGCTGCCGCCTCCGCCAGCACTGCGGCGGGCGACAGGATGAGGCCCGAGCGGGTCCAGCACGGGCGGGCCACGCCCCAGCCGCCCCCGCAGCCCTCGCGCTCGCTGTCGCGCGCGAGGCAGATGTCCTTGCCGCCCAGGGCCCTCTGGAGGAGCACGTCGCCCTCGAATTTTCTGATCTTGCCGCCTTTGCCCTTCGCCTTCTTTGCCCTGGCTCGTGCCGCGGGGGCTGCCCCGGCCGCCCCCTCGGCGCCGAGTCGCGCCGTTGCTGCCCTGGGGCGCTCTGCGCGGGCTGCGAGAGCGACCCTCCGCGGGCATCCCAGCTGATGTTGACGCCGCCACCAGCGTCGCGAAGTGGTGGCCCCTGAGCGACGCGCCCTGCCGGGCGCCCTTCAGCGCCTCCGCGAACGTCTTGCCGAAGTTGATCAGCTCCACGTGCCCCTTGCGGACCTGGCAGTCGCCGGGCGGCCGACGGCCGCGCGGCTCGCGACCTGGCCACCGACGCCTGGGCGCGGTCGCCCAGGAGGTACTCCGCGCGCTCGCCGAAGAGCTCGATCGGCCCCATCTCGAAGGCGACGCGGCCGGGGTGGCGGAGACGCGCGTAGACGCGCGCAAAGGCCAGCGCGCGCATCTGGTTGCGGAAGGCCTCGGCGCCCAGCGGCGCGCCGATCTCCGTGCTGCCCCGCTTCAGCATGATCACGCCAGAATTGTCCGCCGCCGCGCCCTGCCCCCCGTCGTCGCCGTCCTCCGCGCTCGACGCGGGCGACAGCGGGGCGGCCTCCATGTTCGACTACATGATGATGTCCGCGACGCGCTCCAGGAGCAATGCGCGGGGGCGCGGCGCGGCCCCCCAGCTCCCCGCGGGTCGCCTGCGCAGCCACGCGCATCGTCGTAGGGCGGGCGGCTTTGCCGATCAGCTTCGGAGGCCTCGTGCTCTAGGCCTCTGCTTCCTGCTTCCGCCCCCGTTTCGACCCCGCGGCGCGCCGCATCCCGAGGCCGACCGCCTTCGCGACCGCAGCGGCCCCGCTGGAGGGACTCGCTGGCGGTGCCCAAGCAGAAACCCCGCCATCGCGGCGCGAACCCGAACGCGGTCGTCGCTTAGCAACGAGGACCTGTGAATCGTCGCGTAGCCCTGCGTCGCCAGCGCGCCCTGGACGGCACCCCGAACCTCCTCCTCTTCGAACAGAGAGCGCAGGTCCACCGCCAGGTCGTCGCGCAGCGCGGCCGACACCGCGCCAATCCCGAGCTCGGGCATCGGCCGCGCAAGGAGCCCGAAGCAGGCACATGGGCCCGCCACAAGAAAGCGCCAAAATGTCCTGAGACATCGCGGCTGCGGCAGAGAAAATGGCAAGCGATCGACCCGACGAAGGGCGCGCGCGCGTGTAGTCTGCAGGCAAGCAGACTTGAAATCAGGCGGGACTGGCTGCCGCTCATGGAGCGTGAAGCCTGACTGTGGCCGCCGATGCGTTTCTTTCTCGCCCACCTCTGCCCTCGGCCGACCGCCGCAGCCGCTGCCCCGACACAGAAGCCCGGCGCGCCCGCGCACGCCCCTGAGAGCAGGGCACAGATGAGCTAAGCACCCCACGCACGGGCCCCCAGCTCGCGCGCAGATCCGCCGCCGCCCATATGGCATGGGAGCCACCCGGCTGGAAGCTCTCCCGTGGCTCCGAGGCGGCCGAAGCTGCCGAAGCCAGGGCCTCCCGCCCGCTCCGCGGCGGATGAACGCGGCCTCGCCTCTGGGCCCCCCAGCCTCGGAGCCGCCGCTTGCACCGGCCTGAAGAACTGGCCTCCGGCCTCGGCGCCACTGTTCTGTTCCGAAGAGCTGGGCTGCCGATCCTGCGCCGCCAGCACCTTCGGGCCAGCACACCCTGCAGACGATGCTCACTCGCTGCTGGCGCGATCATGCCGAGATCGCGCCACTCCTTGTAGTCCAGTCCCGGGGCTCGATGGCAGCAGCCCCGAGTGTGGAATCGCCGAACCCCCTTTCGGCAAAATCGAGTTGACAGCCATGCGGCTTGGCCTCCTCGTTGAAAGTAGCTATGGACGTCAACGCCTCCGCCTCGGCTTCGATGTCGTCGTCGTCCAAGTCCACGAGCTCTGCCATCAGCGAACCCCTCGCCTCCGGGGCTGCGGCCGCTGGCTCGCCCTCCAAGGCCTGCACCCCCGAGCCGTCGTCGCGGGCGCCGATCGGCGCGCCCTGGGTTGCCGAGATCCGCGGGGAGCCCGGGTAGCTGCCGAAGTATTTGAGGTTGCTCTTCACCTTGTCAATCTCCGCCGCGCCGCAGTCCCGCTTCGCCATGAAGGAGCCCATCTGGTCGAAGATGTTCAGCTGGTCGAAGATGATATGAGCAGTCTCCAGCCAGGCCCTCATCCGGCGACTGGCGCCCAAGACGCTCTGGAGCGACGAGGCGCGCCGACCAGCGGCCAGGTAGCCCAGGGGTTCCTGCGGGTCGCCGACCTGGCCGAGCTCCCCCACCACCGGGAGCTGCACGTAGTTCAGCGCGTGGCCCAGCCGCGCCTGGAAACCGCTCCGCTTGGCCTCCTCGATCACCATCGACGTCTGCGGGGCCGCTCCTTGCGTCCGCGCCTGGGCCAAGCGCGTGGGCCACCGCGCCCAGGCAGGGCCTCGGCGACGCGGGCAGCGCGGCGCCGCTTGGACAGCTCGGCCTCCAGCGCCCCCAAGGGCAGCAGCGCAAGATGGCGCCTCCACGTAGGCGCGGCCGCCACGGCCACCGGGACGAGCCCCCGCATCTCCTCCACCAGGCGGCCACCGTCCTGGTCGACGAGCAGCGCCACGCCTTCGTGGACCTCGACCCAGAGCGCCCTCGCCAGCACGTCGGGCCGCAGGTCGCCCAGCGTAGCCCATCGGCTCGCCACCTCGAAGACCTCCCGGGCCAACAGTGCCTGCGCCTCCTCGGTAGCCGAGACGATCCCGCCGCCCAGGCGCGATCGGCTTGGTTCAAGCCTGCGAGGCGCACGGCGCGCGCCCCCGCACAGCGCCCCCCCCCCCCCCATCCAGCAAAGAAGGGCCCTCGCCCTGGGGGGCTCAGCCTTGAGCCAAAATGGGAAAAGGGGAAATGAGGTTCCACCCGCACGACTGTTTTGCAGCCGACAGGAAAATGGACGGGAGGAGGAGGAGGAGGAGGAGGAGGAGGAGGAGGAGGAGGAGGAGGAGGAGGCGGCGGAGGAACAGGGCGCTAGGAGGAGAAGGAGGAGGCGAGGAACCACAAGAGGCGGAGGGGGAGGGGGAGGAGGAGGAGGAGGAATACGGGGGAGGAGGAGGAACGGGCGGAATGGGCGGCGAGGCGGGTCAGCAGCGGCAGGCGCACGCAGCCCGAGGAAAAGATTACTAGGCCAGGGGAGGAGCAACAGCAGCATCGGGAGCAGGCACGGGGGGTCCCAGGTCGGCCTCGAACCTTCGGACCTCCTCCGTGCTAGGCTCTCGCGGATCTGCATAGTGCTCACTCTCCCTGGGATGCCTGCCCTGTCGCAGGCGGTTCCTACGGGTCTTGGCATTCTTATCTGCAGGTGTGAACTTACAGATTTCGGCCAAGCCCCGCAACGTGAGTGACGAGAAGCTCCCGCAGTGAAAACAAAAAACAAACGGTCCTGTCCTCCAGAGTGCGCGGCCTCGGAACAGGTTCCTATCACCTGTGGTGGAGGAGGAGGGAGGAGGAGGAGGAGGAGGAGGAGGTGGAGGAGGGGAGACCTGGCCTCCTGGCCTCCTACACACCGCGCGGCCCAGGCACTCATGGAATCTGAATCTGGCGCGCTCCTTCCTCGCGGTGGCTTTGCGTCCGCATCTGAGGCAGGAGACGGCAGGCCCTGAAACTAGCCAGGTGGGGTCTCTGCAGGGCAACGCGGGGCCTTCTTCTGGGGACCAACACTCCCCCTCCTCTCCCTCTCCTCCCGGCAGGGGGGGGGTAATGTCGGCAAGAGACCCCGTCCTAACTGCAAGGTCGGCCACGAAACTCAAAACAGCCTGAACGTCCGTATGTATTTGCTTGTACGTCGCGCTAGTGCCTACGGGTCGAGGGGCGAGGTCAGCCTCTTCACGGGCCGCTTCGTCCGCCTCTTTATTCCCTCGTGCCAGGAAACTCACTCTAGGGTCATCCGAATTCAGATGCTGCGAGGAACGGGACATGATATTGACAGTAATGAGCCCTACTAGACCAGGAAAACTATCATCTAGCACGGTCCAAATCTGAGTCCAGACGTCTGCGTGCGAGCAAACTCCTTTGGTGCACCAGGCCCGGCCTCTTCGGAGGCCTCGAGACAAAGTATCGTTATGTATTCCCACGATGAGCGGGGGAGTGGCGAACTGCAGCAAGTGTGCGAAGCCTAACAGCTCACGCCGCAGGACAGAGAGGGCTGAGCGCACCCCAGCAGGGCATCCACATTGCGAGAACTCGACGACGAACGACGACTCCCTCACGAACGAGAAACCCCAACCGAAACTCTTGCATCCTGGATGCCCTACTCCCGATCCGTCGGAGAAGGCGAAGCCACTGCACAGGCCTGGCTTGCCTGTTCGGGCTTGAATTCGCTCAATCAGAAAATCAAAGGTGGGATCCGCCACAGGGTGATCTACAATGCCTCGGGAAAAAAGTGGCGTTCCCTGCGTGGCCCTGGTGGCCCCGTGAATAATTTCAGCGCTGCCTTCAGCAATATCTCTGCACTGCTGGTCGAGCGCACTGCACCTGCAGAACCTGTGCTGCTGGGTGCCGATCTCACTGCTGCATGCTTGGCATTCTCGTACGTCTGTCTCTCCTCTGCGCCATCGCACATCTTGTGTGCAGAAGGCGGCGCACAGGTAGCTCTCGACTGCGCCTCTTCGCCTCGGGCAGAAGCGCTGAGCCTTCTGGCGGAGGAGGGCGCGCACTGGTTCCAGAAAAGGTCGTGAAACTCCAGGTAGCTCATGCTTCTCGGCCCACTCCTCCATTGCGACCTGCTCGAGCCTGGCTAGCGCGAGCGCCTTGATCGTAGAGGGTGGTACGATCCGCATGTTCAGCTGCTCCTGGCGATGCGTCATGATGATGTGAGGCGCTGGCCGTGTCCATCCAAGTCTGTCCCGGGATCCGTAGAGCGCGGTGGCAGGGCCCCTGACCTGCGCCCAGTCGAACTTGCGGTGGGGGGCCTGCCTAGCTGCTGCTCGGCGCACTACCCTTCGCCAGCCCGCTTCGAGCTTGGCGTAGTCGGCGCCTGAGTCCCAGACGACCGTGGCCCACTTGCCCATCGGGGCGAGGGCGGCCTGCGCAATCGGGTCTGCCGGGCGAAGCCAAAGCCGCAAGGCCCTGTCCTTGCCCATGGGCTCGCCGCCGAGGCCACTGGACATGAGGATGCGGGCCGTGTTGAGGATCGCGGAAGGGGGCCCGAAGCTGGCCGAGGCGTAGAACATGCTGAGCAGCAGGCCATTCTTGAGAACAGATCTGGCGGTGGCACAGCTGGCCTCGAGGCTAAGCAGCTTCCTCTTCCTGCCCCAGGCCCTGCGGATTCTCGAGCCAGCCTTCCGCGGTGATATCGCCCCCCCCCCCCCCGCGGTGTCCACTCCGAGCTGCTGGCCCGTGGCCTTGATCTGGTAGCCGAAGTAGTTGGCCATTGACCTGCAGGCGTGGCGCAGCTCCCTGCCGGCTGTGATGCAATAGCTCTTGCCTGGCTTGGTCCCGCGCTTGCGCGAGATGGGTATGCCGAGGTTCCCTTCGATCTGGTTGATATAGTACTGGGTGCTAGCGTAGATGTCTTCACGTACTTCTTGGCGTCTTCCATCACGTTGCATCTGGCGGTCGTCCACATATAAAACATGTCGTACACGTGGCCATTGTAAACGGATCTTATCGCATACTGGAATGATGACCATCTTCAGTGCCCTGGTGCCTCCACAGGGGCCCGCAATAACCGCCGAGTTGGTGACTGTGCAGACTTTGGCCACAAACCGCTGGCACATGATCCATCGGGTCCCCGTGCACATTGATATAGACAGGTGTATCATCTGACGCGGGAAGTCGAGATCGGGGCTGGTGTCCCACAGGAGGTAGGCGCCAATGTGCTCGAAGGCCTTCTCCAGGTCGGACACCGCGCTGAGGGGCACAACATTGTCTGGTAGGCCTTCCTCAGCTAGGGCCTGGGTCCACATGGCGTTCTCTGCTCCTCCTCCTCTTGCTGCCCACTCATAGTCCCGCGAAAGCTTTGCTTCCCACTGGATGTAGATGTCCGCATGCAGTCTCTCGGTGATCCGCATGGTGGTGGTCACGAGCCCAATGGGCCTAGTATCAGTAGCGATCTTGTCCAGGAGGAAGTAGAGGATGTGCTGCCAGCTGGTCGGCCAATGGATTTGTTGGCTGATGTACATGACCAGGTTGCACATGAATTGCGTGCCCTTGTCGGACAGCTCGCCCATCCATCGGGGATGTATCTCGCCCGCCCCTACCCCCGCAGTCGCCTTGAAGGTTCTGCAGATGTTCTCGAAGGCCTCGGGGGTGACGTGGACCAGCGGGCGGTCGTAGGTACAGGTGCCCCATGGGCGGGGTGGTTCGCCACGGCTGGCCCCGTGATGGGACATCCATAGGCGATGCCATACTGCTGCGTGTTGCTCCGTTCTCGTCTGCAAGTCTGCCAGGTCGAGGTTGCTGATGTCTGCGTTGACCTGCGCAGTGGTGGCGTATGGCGCGGGCGGCGCCTTCGCCCACTTGCTGATGCGGTGAATGAACCCTGCTGAACCCTTGGAGGCCTGCTTGAGGCGCTCTCTCCATTCCTTGCCTCGCTGCGAGGCGATGTGCTGATCGATAGTGTGCGCCTCGGCGCTGGCGTACTGGTGCACTGCGCGCACTTCCATCAGCAGGCCCATGTTATGCGCGGTGTTGTTCTCCAACGCCAGGTCTATCACTTGCTGGTACAGACCTGCGTTGGGCATGTGCTTCCATTGGCTGCGGCCATGCTTGCTCTGCCTGGCCAGGCCCCTCCAGTGGGGCATGAGGATGTCGCAGCTGCCTCCGCGCCTGTTGGCGCCGCGGTGGAGGAGCACTACGTCGCGGAGCAGCTTGGAACCCAACCTCCATGCTCTCGAAGTAGGGTCCCCCCTAGGTCTGGCATGGGCTTCGGGTCCAGCTGCAGTGACCGTGATGAACTTTGAGGCTTTGTCATACATGTATCTTTGGTCGTGGGGAATATGATGCAGGTGGCAGAGCTCGGCTTCCATGCGGGCGTTGGCCTCCTGCCATAGTCGGTCCAGGTCATCGACGTGCAGACGCATGCTGTAGTCAAGCTGCGGCCACTGGACCTCGATGGGGTCTGGCCTGTCCTGCGCCAGCGGTGCCTTTGCTGGAAAGGGCTTGATCCTCTGAAGAATGCGCACCTCCGCCTGGCGGAAAGATCCTCGAAGAGTCAGGAACAGCGGCGTGCGCGGCGGAACGCTGACCTCGGTGTAGAACTGCGGGGGGCCGAAGGCTGGGGCAATGCGCTGGTCCACTACGTAGAAGTCCAGCTCGCGATGCCCTGTGGAATGCTGACAGGTAGGTATCCCCGTTGCCAGTAAGACTCCGCGGATGTCGTCGATCCAGTTGCTGCTGGCCAGCTCGCTGCGTAGCATGTTGAAATCGCCTTGGAGGGCCCAGGGGATGCTGAAACGGTGGATGATGCCGGCGATGCGATCCAGGAGGCCGAGGCTCCTGATGGCGAGGCCCTCCGGGACCCACATGTACACGCTGATAAGCATCTTGTCTCCCTTGCCTCCGATGGGTGCCCAGGCCACGCACAAGCGCCCTGGTGACCCAGGAGGTGAGTGGTCGAAATCCTTGTATCCTGCCAGCGGCGCCAGGCCAGTAGCTGAGGGCACTGCAATCTATACTCCTGCGCTGGGCCCCCCGTGTGGCCCAGGGGCAGACCTGGCCGCGGCCAGGTTGACGCCTCGCTTCTCGGTGGAGGCGAGGATCTCGGGTATCCACTGATTGCTCAACTGATGCTCTTGTCCAAGGAGAACCCAGACCTGGCCGCCGCACAGGGAGTCAAGCAGCGTGTTGGCCGCGCTCCATGTAGGACAGCTGGCGCCGTAGATTATGACTCCTGCCTTGGATGCCCCTCCTTTGCCACGCTTGGACTGGTTCGACCGTGGGCCTGCTCTTCTGGTGCTGCCGTGGTGGGAGTTGCTCACGGTGAGGTCCTCAACGTCCCTGGGGTGCTGAACGTCGTGGCTGTCCTGGGGGATGTTGTAGTTCGGGCTGATGCCCTCTACGCCGTAGTCGCCAGAAGCCGCGACCCCTGGGGGGCCTGGAGCCCGCTTCTCCTCTGCTGGCTGAAGCTCCCACCTTCGCCTTGCAGAGCCTGGGTGCATGTCGTCGCTGCCCGCGCAGGTGTCCATCCTGTCGTTGGGCTCGGTGTCGGCCTCCAGAAGAGTACGTGAAATGGATCCCGCATCGCCTCGGACTGAGCCGCTAATAATGCCGCGAGACGACACTGACATACCATCCCGGTGCGGGGTGGGGGCGGCCGGCACGCCCGCCCCCATCCTCCGTCGAGTGGGCGCGACAGCGTGGGTTCCACCCCGCCGCCCCCCCCTTGGGAGGCGCGGGGAGTGCTCGCCCCCCCCCTCCCCCCCCACCGTGGCCAGCGGTGGTTTGACTCTTGAGTAGGCTCGAGGTGGAGGTGCCTCTTCGTAGTCTGCGGCCCCACACGGGTCGGGCTCGCCGCCCAAGTGAATGTCGATGTCGTCGACGTCTGCGGCGGCTGCTGCACCCGAGCCCCCCCCCCTAACTGGCAGAGGAGAGGCGCTGGGCACTCGGGCTTCCTGCTGTGACACAGGTCGCTCAACCCTCAGCGGGCCCCCGGCTAGGTCCTGCGCTTCGCAGGGCACCGAGCCTTCCACGCCCGGCTGCCCCTGGGCTCGCCGGCTGGGTGCACGCCCCTCCCTAGCCCGCAAGGGCTGGGATCCACGACCAGGTGTAGGCTGCAGCAGTGCGTTGGGGGGGCGTCTGCTATGCGCCCTCTGAGATGGTGTCGCCCACGTGGCGTCGGAACGCACTGGGGGGCTCCCTGACCGCGCTGGGGGGCAGCGCTCGAACCGCGGAAGGCATCGGCCACCCGCCCGTCCGCGGCGTCGGCGGTGAGCTGGGCGCTGCGGGAGGCGTCGACCACCCGCGCGTCCGCGGCAGCCCGCGCGCACCCCACGCCGCCTCCCCTGCTATGGTCATGAGCGGCTCCAGCCCCGCCTCCTTGCCGCAGACGGCGGCTTTGCTGAGACACGATGACCGCGGGCTGCGCGGGATCCCCGATCCTCTCGCGCAGCAGCCTCGGCACCGGAGGCGTGGCCATGGTCGATGACCTCGCTGTGCAGCTCCTCTGGGCTCGAACCGTGGACGGCATCTGCCACCCGCCCGTCGGCGGCGTCCGCGGTGAGCTGAGCGCCGCTCACGTCGGTGCCCCCAGCGTCGTTCTCGGGGGGCGCCGCGACCGCTCGGGGGCCAAGGGTCCGCGTCCCCCCTGCAGGCGGCCCCCCCAGCCCACGCCTCGCAGGGCCTCGCTGTGTGTCGTAGCTGTCAACGCAGGTGTCCATCCCGTCGGTGAACTCCGCGTCTGTCTCTGGGTCGGAGTCGCCTGCCGCCCAGGTCCCTGTCTTGATGATGATCGCGCCCCCAAGAGTGCCGATTCTCTACGGGGATGTGCCGTCTACGAATCTGGTACTCCATGCTGGTCCTGCTCCGCTGTGCCCAGCGCAATGTGCGGGGCAGTGGTCGGGCGCCCTGCCTGCCCTTGGCTCAGGCGGATTGGGCCCCCTGCCGCTGGCTGGGCGCCTGAGGTCGGGGCCCCGTCGCTGTTCTCATTGACCTTGTCTTTCTTGCGCCTGGCCAGGGTCTAGCTGGTGCGTCGCTGAAGTTCAGCACGCCCTGCATCTGTGGAGGGGCAGGTGCCTCTGGGCGGCTCCGCTGCGGGCGGCACCGATGCAGCGCCTCCAGCAGCGCACGCCTGAGGCTGGCTGGCTGGGTCTGCTGGTGCTCATGCTGCTGCGGGAGGCTGGGGGCCCTTGCCGTTGTCCCCATTTGCGCTTCTTGGCCAGCCGCTGCGCATGTTCCTGGTGCTGTTGCTTGACGGACAGCGCGTGCTCAGCGGCCTTGGCGAAGACTTCCTTTGTCCAGCTTGTGATTTGTTCCTCGAGTGCTCGCTGTCGTTTGCTGATATCCTCTCGGCCCTCGGTCGTGATGTCTCCTTCCTCGAGGTCAAAGACTGAGCCCATGTCGATCTTGATGCTGCTGTTGAGCTGGGCGACCCAGTCCCTCTGGCCGTCGAGCTCGCGTTCCCATGTGTCGAGCTTGTCAAGGGCCGACTCGAGCTTCTTGGCGTGCTTGTCGCGGGCGTTGGAGATGTTGGACAGCTGCAGCTCCAGGGGCTTCTTGGGTCCACCTGCCGCCAGGCAGTTGATCGTGTCGATCCTCGCCTTGCAGCGTTCCTGGAGCTTTGTGTTGCCCATCTTGGTGGCGACTGTGTACAGCTCGTTAACCTCGGGAAGGTCCAGCTTGTCCACGTTGAACCCGTCGTGCACGAAGGGTTGGCTGCCAGGGCCCGCTGCACCAGCTCCACCAGTAGCCATGCTAGTGCGGTCCGCCCAGCGCCCTTGCGCCGCTGGCGGGGTTGCGTCGCCTGGCTCGTGCCTGGGTGTTTGGCGGTGCTTGCACCACGTCCAGGCCCCGAGGTTCTTGCCGCACCCGCACTCCGTGCACTTCCAGTTGGGGCCGGTGCGCCAGGGCGCTGCGTCGCGCCACCAGCTCCTGGGCGCCATGGCTGCTGGAGTGTCGGTTCCCGATCTTGGGGCTGACCAGGCGGGGTCGTCGTCTTGCTCCAAGGAGCCTCACAGGATGCTGCGTCGCCTGGGGCGGCTCACGCAGCGGTGCGATGAAAGAAACTGGGGTCTAGCCGCGGACTAGCGGTATCCACTTGTTTCCGCTGGGAAACCAAATCCTTGAGCCAAAATGGCTACGGGGGGAGGAGGAGGAGGAGGAGGAGGAGGAGGAGGAGGAGGAGGAGGAGGAGGAGGAGGAGGAGGAGGAGGAGGAGGATGAGGAGGAGGAGGAGGAGGAGAGGAGGAGGAGGAGGAGAAGAACGATGAGGAGAACGAGGAGGATAAGGAGGAGGAGGAGGAGGAGGAGGAGAACAAGGAGGCGGGAAAGGAGGGGGGAGGGGGAGGAGGAGGATGTGGAGAAGGAGAAGGAGAGGAAAAGAACGCGACGAAAAGGAGGGTGAACATTACGGGGAGAACAAAAAAAAAGAGGAAAGAAACACAAGGTCGAGGTGCAGGGTCGAAGACGCGGACGGCGACGGGGAGCGCGCCCGGCGCGCGGCGCGGGTTCCGCCGCCGAGGGCCCCGCGCACGCCCCGAGGTCCAGGTGGTTGGTCGGCTCGTCCAGGATGAGCAGCGTGGGTTTCTTGAACAGGGCCTCTCCCGCGCGCCGAGGAGGAGGGGCAACGACGGGAGGGGACCAGCTCAAGGGGGGGGGGGGGGACATCGAGCTGGAATCGGCGATGCATCGACGGCAGATCGGCAAGAGGCCCCCGATCGCACAACTGCATACCCATGGGCGGGGCGGGCAACCAGGCCCCATCCACATCGGGGAGAAGGGGCCGACCTCCGCGCCTACCCCCCCTAAAGTTGCCCCAGAAAGGTGGCAGGGTGCCGAGTTCTTGTCCCGTGCACGCAGGGATCGAGGAGGAGAGGCTCTTCTGCCCAAGCTTTCTTCGCTCTCTGGGCCTCCAGGGGTTCCCAGAATCCTCTAGGGGTCAAGATCTGGGGCGGAAGCAAAACCTGCCAGATAGAGGAGGTGGAGGAGGACGAGGCGAGGCGAGGCGAGGCGAGGCGCTGGGAGGTGGCGCGGGGGGCTGGGAGGTGGCGCGGGGCGCTGGAGGACTCCCAGTTCGCCCAAAAGGGCGGCCGCGCGGGGGGCTGGGAGGTGGCGCCGGGGCGCCGCTCATTCAGTCACCGGGGATATTGTTGATGTTGTGTGATAAACGTAATCATCCTCCAATTCATCCATACTTCCTCCAAAATGTAGCCAATGCTGTCCATGCGCTGTAAGAAAGTATTCTGTCAGATCGTCAACCCACCGTTTTTTGGGTCGATGTGGTAGCCTCTTTGCGCGTGCATTCGTCGCGGTCGGCTCCCATAGTAAAGGAGGTCAAGGAAGTCGCCAAACACTTTGCTCCAATAGTCGACTGTTTGGGATCCGCGCGCGGGACATGTGTCTACACATATGCAGACGTGCATGACTGCATTATGTTATATACATACCTATTCCTATTGTTATATTTGTATTACCCGGAACCCCTTCCACACCCCCCCCTAAACTGGACCACCACCATCCAGGACACCCCAGACGCCCCTGCCCCCCACCCAACGAACGCCCTGGATGCCCTTTCGGAGTCCCAGCGACCTCCGGGCAGTTGGACGCCCCTGCCGATCGAAGCCCACGGGCCCAAAACGGGCCCCAAGACGGCTCATCAGCGCTCAAAGAGGACCCAATATGGCTTCAAGACGGCCTACGAGGCCCCCAAGACGGTCCAAGAGGCCCCGAAAGGGACCCCCAAGAGCCCCGAATCATCCCATTCCCTGAAGAAACGTACGCTTTTGAAGATATTAGCTTTTTCCGCTTCCACAGCGTCCACAGCGTCCCCAAAGACTCTCAATACCGCCCCAGGACGGCCTCCGAGGCCTCTATGACCGGCCCAAGGCGGCCCAAAAAAGCTCCAAGAAGGATCATGAAAAGGCCAAGGCGGCCAAAAAGGGGCCCCAGAGGGCCCCGAGAACTCCCAAGAGAGCCCCAAGAGAGCCACAGGAGGCCCCCAAGAGTGTCCCAAGAGGGCCCCCGAAAAGCCCCCGGCCGTCCCGGCCTCCCAAAACGGCCAAAAGCGGGTTCCGGGACAGCCCAAGAGGGCTCCAAGACGGCCCAAAACAGCCAAAAAGAGTCCTCTGCTCTGGAGAGTCACCAGGAGCTCGAACGCGAGCCCACACCGTTCCAATATAGTTTCCAGAAATTCTCTTACACTCCACGATGCCGTAGTTCGCAGGACGGCGCTTCGAAAGGACCTTAAAAGCCCAACAAGCGTCCAGGACCCCTCCAGGCATTCAGGAAGCGACCAATCGTCGTCGCCGCCGCTGTCGTCGTCCTCGTCGTCCTACGGAGGGGCAGGAGGTCTCGGCCTGTCATCGCGGGCTGCCGCCTCATTATTGCATAGCCCGCTTACTGACGCCCCGAGCGCTCGCTCCCGCAGCCTGCCCGAGAGGAGGAGCAGGGGAAGGAGGAGGAGGAGGAGGACGACGACGACGACGACGAGGAAGGGCCACGTTTCTGAGCGCTTTTGGTCCCATTGGGAGCTTCCAGAGGCCCTCGAGAGACGAGCGCCCCATCTGCAGTTCAGACGAGAGCCCCATCGTCGTCGTCGTCGTCGTCGTCGGCGTCGTCGTCGTCGTCGTCGTGGTCGTCGTCGTGGTGATTGTGGTCCTTCCCTCCCCACTTCTGCGCACAGGCGTGCAAGCTCATCGGGCGAACGCAGTGTTAGCAAGGTTCAGGGATAGAAGAAAAATGAGCCAGTCGCCCGTCCAGACCTCGACGCCCCCTCTGCTGAAACACGCCATGACTTATAGTTTTTCTCAGAGAAGTGTCCAGAACGAAGCGCATGGAGCGAAGCGCCAATGCAGTCTTGTGTATATATATGTATGTGTGTGCACACAAACATAAATCAATACATACATATATACATATGTACATACATATATACATACATACATGCATGCATGCATACACACACCTACGTGCACACGTACGTGCATGCATACATACATACGTACATACATGCATCCATACATAGATGCTTGAATACATACCTGCGTGCATGCATGCATGCATGCATGCATGCATAACATACATACCGACCTACCGTACGACTGTCCTACCTGTCGGCATACTTAGCTGCATACATACACATATACAGACATGCATGCATACATACAAATATACGTACACACATGTAGACATGCATGTAAACATACATACGTGCATACGTGCGTGCATGCATACATGCAGACGTACATACATGCGAGCATGCATGCATGCATGCATGCATGCATACTTAACTGTACATGCATCCATGCATACAAACATACATACATACACACATATACATATATATATATATATCCGTGCGTACACACATGTTCACATACATAAAGACATATCTACATACACCAATATATGTGTATACGTATTCGTGTATACAGCTGTGTGTATATATATATATATACACAGACATGCGCGCACATCACTACATACGTACATATATACACACAAAACCATCGAGACACACACGCACGACGCTATGCTAATACCATCGGTTTACTCCCTCAAAGAAAACATGTCCGTCGCAGCTCAGGTTCTGGCCGGGGAGGCTGGGTGCCGAGCGCCCCGGATAAGCTCACGACGGCCCCAAATGGCCCTAAGACGGCCCTAGATGGCGTCAGAAGGCCTCAGGAGAGCCCGAAGACCTTTCATACGGCCAAGTCGCGCCAAAGATGGCCCAAAAAGGCTGGTAAACGGCCCAACGGGCCTCCAAGGACCCAAGGACGGCCCAGCAGGCCCCAAAGACGGCTTGACAACAGCCCAAGAGACTCCCAAGAGGGGCGCACTCGCAACCATGGATTTGCACGTCGACGGTCAGAGAATGTGCGCGCATAAGTATACATGAACGTGCATAACTAGATATACCACGCATATGTGTATACGTAAACAGTATATGTAAGTGTGCACCACATATACCTGTAGAATGAAGACATGTAGATACGATGTGCGTGTGCGTGCACGTGCAACTCATCACCGCTGTTGGTGCACAACGTATACGCGAATCATGTGTGATCGCCGAGGCTGCGGGACCCGCGCAGGCACCAGAATCGGCAGTGGATGCGCGCAGCTGCTGACTGGCGGCGGCCGAACAAGCACACGCGCGAAAGCAGTGAGCCTCCTGACCATACCCTCCTCGCGCGGCAACCGTGACCATGAGCCTCCTGACCATGCCCTCCTCGCGCGGCAACCGTGACCGCTTTTTCTCCCGCGACGCTCGGCGGCCGAGATTTTCTATCTCGTGGCTAAGAACAATCGGAAGCCTGGCAACGAGCACCGATCAGAACACGGCGCGCCCTGTGCGCTTCCAGGATCGGGACCGCCGACCGCCACACGGCACCGCTCGAACCTTCCCAGTAGAACTAGAAATCTGCATAAACATAAACTTCCTGTGAACGCATGAAAAATGACCCCCGCCCCCCACATGAAGAACTTTATACGAATGGGATCGTCAGACGACGCGTGAACTGCACGCGGAAACAGCTCAACGGTCAGCCGACGACGACGCCGCGCAAGTCGATGCGAACGGCGCGCTGCTGCTGTGCTCGTTGACGTTTGCTGAACTTGGCGTTGCCTTGTGCTGGCGCGCTGTCCATGCCCACTCGGCCGGGGCTGGGGTCGGTTGCCCACTGCTCACTGTGGAGGTCCGCACGGATTCCTTGGATCGACGCTGTGCCCCAGTCCCCGGCGTGCCGGAGCGCGCTCGGCGCCCGAGCCGTCGCAAGGGGGGGGGGCCCGGCGCAGGTCCGAGAAAGCCGACAAAGGGGCTCCGAGAGTCTGTGCTGAATGCCACTCTCGCTGCCTCGAAGGTCGAGCACTCTGGGCCACGGTCCCCGATCTCCCCGGACCTGCTGAGCACCACAAGGGAAACATCACAGCGTGTGCACTCCCGGTCGGTGCGCAGGGAGCGTTTCCCACCGCGCGCCGTGCGGGAAGTGGTTCGGAGCGAACAGCAAGCCTCGTTCGCTCTGCCCGCTCGTGGCCCTGCCAAACCGCAGCGGCACGGCCAGAGGCACACGAATGAGAAGTGGCGAGGTTGCGGAAAAAAACAAATCCACTCACAGCGGCCAAATCCGAGAACGAAAACGTACCAAGACAGAAACGTTTGAAGACCTACATATCTCGACTGTCTCGCTCAACACGCCCGCGCTGGTATGACATGTCCTGGCTGGGATGTCCAATCGCGTGGCGACTCACGAGTCACCCCCACCGAGAGGAGCGTGGGCATCGTGGATGACCTCCACACCCTCCTCCTCCTGCTCTCTCCACTCGAACCCGTCTACTTCTTCGCGCCGCACCCTCGCCATCAGAGACTTGTAGTCCTTATGGGAGGGCGACACGAAGAACATGGCATAGTCAATAGGCACTGTGTTTGTCGGAATGATGACCACGGGGATGCAGGAGAGCGTCCGCAGAACCTGCTTCCTCCCGACCCGCCTGTCGTCCTCGGAGTCGGGCCAGCGAACCTCCAGTGCGCCACGGCTCTTGAACTCCCACGATAACGGCATGAGGAGCTGGTCATCCGGGCCACCAGTGATGAGATCCATGCTCTCGAGGTCGCCGTCGGCGCAAAGTCGCGCCTTCGACTCCTTGCCGAGCTGCGCACAGTACACTGTTACCGTGTCGATGCCACCCTCGTTTCGGTCCTTGTGGAAGCTAAGGACAGTCCCTATTGTGTAGAACCATTCCTTTATGCGACGAAGGTAAATGCAGAAGATTGCACGATCGATTTGCTCGCTGCATCTTCGACAGGCTAGCTTCTTGTCGTTGCAGATGTCTACCTGGGCCTTGGCCTCTTCAACATCCTGGAAGCCATCCTCCCCGTCCGACAAGATGGCGTCGAGGACGCGGTGGACCATCACATCTGGATATCGACGGATAGGGGACGTAAAATGAGTGTAATAGTCAAAATTCAACGCGAAATGGTGTGTCTCGGCGCCATCTTCATGAACAAAATACTGCGCTTGCATCATGCCTGCCCTCATCACCATCATATCAATGCACAAGCCCAGCGTATCCCCGTATTTGTGTCTGATCATCTGGCACGACTTGTGCAACTCGTAGGCATTCCCCTGCTTCCAGTCGATACCGAGATTATCTCTCAACTTCATCTCCAACTCGAGTGCCTTTTCTGGTTCCGGCGGGTCATGCCTCCGGAGCACCCCCACGTGATGCAGCCGAGGGTCCTGAGCGAGAAATTTGGCCACGCAACGATTGGCGAGCAGCATGAGCTCCTCGATGATCCAGTGCGACGCGCTGTGGGACTCCAGATGGTAGCCAGTCGGAGTGCCATCCTCGCTCTCGCGGGTGTGGAATATCATCTTGTGCTTCGAGATCCTGAGGGCGCCACCCTCCATGCGGCCCGTCCGGACCTTCCCGCACACGTCGTAGAGCAGAAAGAGGTCATCCCTGATCTCTGACCAGCTCCAGCCGCCGTACATGGCAGGAATCTCGTCCGCCCCCAAGTCACCCTCGTCCAGCACCACCTGCACCTCGTCGTAGTTCATGCGGCAGACGGAACACATCGCCGTCTTGTTGAAGCGCGGCCTATACTCCCCGTGCTCGACCAGATCACCGGTTTCCTTGTCCAGACGGAAGTGCACAGAGAAGGACAGCTTCGGCTCGTTGGGGTTCAGGGAGCACAGATGGTTGCACAGCGCGTGGGGGAGCATAGGCAGGACTCTGTTGATGAGGTAGACTGATGTGGTGCGTTCCTGTGCCAGCAGGTCCGCCTGGCTGCCGAGCTTGAGGAAGTGGCCCACGTCGGCGATGTGCACGCCGACCTCGGTTTCCCATGCCCCCTGCCCCCGTAGGGGGATAAAAAAGAGAAGAAGCGGGAGCAGAAGAGCGCGGAGGAGGAATGCGCGCAAACCTCGATATGCCTTCCGCAGTCGTCCACGTGGATGGCGTCGTCCAGGTCGCGGGCGGTGGCAGGGTCGATGGTGAAGATGCGCTTTCTCCTCGGAGAAAGCTCGACCAATGCTCCAGCGAGCGTTACAGTACGGCTGGCAAACCAAATCCGGTGGCTTCTCAGTGGCCGACAGGCTGCGGGGGATTTCCTGCTCCCTGCAGCAATCCCAAATCCAGATGCTAGAATAGCTAAGTGCTGAGAAGTTGTCATTCCAACTGTAGCCTGTAGCCTGTGCGAGGAACCCCGCCGCGAAAACCACTTGGCTCCCTCCCCAGAATCCCGTGCTCTGAACTTCTAGGTGTGCCCAGGGACGCGCAGGAGTGCGTCACGCTCGCGCCCCCGAGGCCACAGCCCGGAGCCATGTTCGACGGATTGGCGCCCCCGGGGCCACGATCTCAAATAGGTGCACGCCCCCGAGGCCACGACCTCTCGTGAATGACGGCGCGGTCGCGCTCATGAAACCACCAGCCCTTGCAGTGCACACCGAAGTCGTTCCCCAAGCTCCACAATCCTTTTACGTATCATGTGCTACGAGCTTGCGCCCCCGAGGCCACAATTCCTTGTGAATCACGCCGCTCCCGCGCTCACGACGTCACAATCCCTGGTACACGACATGACTCTCGCGCTCCCGAAGGCCCAGCCCCTTGTCAAGCATTACTAGCTTGCGCCCCCGAAACCACGATCCCTCGTAAACCAGAGCGCGCTCGCGCTCCCGAGACCACAGCCTCGAGGAAGCTAGAAACAGACTCGCGCACCCAAGGCCAACACCCGCTCCCCAACCCCCAACACCTTGTATCTTACATCACTCTCACGCTCCCGCAACCACGGCCCCTTTGTAAAGAGCACTGCGCGCTCGCGCGTCCGAAGCCACAGGGAGCCTGCAAGTCACGACAGGCTCGCGCTGACGAGGACCTAAAAGCCCTGTCGCGCGGCCGCGGGCACGGCCCCTCGCCGCACGACCACGCGGTCGTGCTCCTGAGGTCACGGCCCCTTGCGGACGACTGCCGCTCCGCAGGCCCCGAGCCACTCGCGCCCCCAGGCTCGCCGGCCCCGTGGCCACATGCCCGAGCCAAGCACTGTACAGAATCGTGCCCCCGAGGCCACGCACCCACCCCCAGGCAGGCTGCCCAGAAGCGCCCCCTCTCCGGAGCAGAAGAGGTATCGGTTTCCTGCGCTGGGGTATGTGTTCCGGTGGCGCTCTTCGCCCCCTCCTCCTCCTCCTCCTCCTCCTCCTCCTCCTCCTCCTCCTCCTCCTCCTCCTCCTCCTCCTCCTCCTCCTCCTCCTCCTCCTCCTCCTCCTCCTCCTCCTCCTCCTCCTCCTCCTCCTCCTCCTCCTCTCCTCCTCCTCCTCCTCCTCCTCCTCCTCCTCCTCCTCCTCCTCCTCCTCCTCCTCCTCCTCCTCCTCCTCCTCCTCCTCCTCCTCCTCCTCCTCCTCCTCCTCCTCCTCCTCCTCCTCCTCCTCCTCCTCCTCCTCCTCCTCCTCCTCCTCCTCCTCCTCCTCCTCCTCCTCCTCCTCCTCCTCCTCCTCCCTCTCTCTTCCTCCTCCTCCTCCTCCCTCCTCCTCCTCCTCCTCCTCCTCCTCCTCCTCCTCCTCCTCCTCCTCCTCCTCCTCCTCCTCCTCCTCCTCCTCCTCCTCCTCCTTCTCCGCCTCCTCCTCCTCCTCCTCCTCCTCCTCCCTCCTCCCTCCTCCCTCCTCCTCCTCCTCCTCCTCCTCCTCCTCCTCCTCCTCCTCCTCCCCCCCCCTGCCCCTTCGCCCCCTCATCGCCTCCTCAGAACTCGGCTCTGGGCCCGAAGCCACGACTCCTTGGAAACGGCCAGGGGCGCGCGCTCCCGAAGCCGCGGGCCCTGGTGAAGCACAGCGGGAGCGCACTCCCGAGGCCGCCATCCCGCATTGCCTGTTACAGACGCGCGCAACCAGCCAGCGAGCAGACAGTCTAAGTAAACTGCCACCCATCAATTCAAGCAACAAGCCAATCAGCCCAGTTTATAGCCAGCCAACCGACAGTAAGACCAACCAACTGACCGACCAAGCGTGGCCATGCCAGCAGCCTGAGGGGGGGCCGGCGGCAGAGGGAAAGCCCTTCAGACAATAAACTGCCCTGCCACCACGTGTCCAATCGAAGCTCCCTACTCCGCGATGGCACGCGAGGACATGGTGCTACCTTGGAGCACCTGACGGAGCTTAAGATCGGCGGGCAATGTACGGGATCGCCAGATTAATACTCGTAACTATCTGCTGTGTGCCGTGCAATCCCCGGACAGGCTTTCAGCCCACGGGCGTCGGGCAATTCTGAGGCGGCGATCGGGCTGGCCTCTGCCGGCGAGTCATCCCGTGGCGTCCCGGGAGGTTTGACCAGCGTGGCCGAAAGTCTCCAGGCTGGGGGGAAATGAGGGTGAAAGGAGGGTGGGGAGGGGGAGTGGGGAGTGAAAAAGGATGGGGGAGGGTGAAAGGAGGGTGGGGAGGGTGAAAGGAGGGTGGGGAGTGAAAAAGGATGGGGGAGGGCGACGGCAGAAGGAAGGCCAGGAGAGGAGGAGAGGGAATGGGGGGGGCGACATAGGGGCAACCAAGGGCGGGGAAGGACAGGGAAGGGCGCGCAGGGAGGGGGGAGGGGGCAAGCGGAGGCGAGGGAAGCGTGGAGCAGGGAGGGCGGAGAGAAGGCGGGCTGCAGGCGAGCAGGGTCGGGAAAGAGAGGGAGCATTGAGGGAAGGGGGGATGCGGGGGGAGGGAGGGAGAGGGAGAGGGAGAGGGAGAGGGGGGCGGGAGGGAGGAGGGAGGGGCGATGAGGCCAGAGAGAGGAGTGGGCAAAGACAGACCCGGGTCATCCTCCAAGCCTGCTCCTCTCAGCCTCCTTCAGATCCAACTCCTGCCCCTGAGACTGCAACTCCTCCTCCTCATCCTCCTCCTCGACCGCCTCATCCTCCAATTCTTCCTCCGACCTCTCCTCCTCCTCCTCCTCCTCCTCCTCCTCCTCCTCCTCTTCCAGCTCCTGCCCCCCCCCGCCCCTGCATTCCGCTCATTATCATAATTCTCCTCCTCCTCTTCCTTCATCCCTTCTCCGTATGAATAACTCCTCCCTGTCGCACCCCCAGACGTGTCAGTAGGGCGGGCCAGGCGTTTCGCCTGAGACTTCCTCACCATTTATGATCCTGAACCTTGAAAGTTGCAACAGTTTCACGGATTGAGGGCGGGGGAGGGTAAAACATGTGGCCCTCGCACCAGCGCCGCGCACATTCGTCCCGAAAGTTTACAACAGCCTCAAGGATGGAGGACAGGTGGTGTTCAACATGTGGCTCTCGCCTCCGCGCCGCGCACAAACGTCTCAAAGTTTGCAACAGCCTCAAGGATGGAGGACAGGTGGTGTTCAAAATGTTGTTCTCGCCTCAGCGCCGCGAACATTCGTCTCAAAGTTTACAACAGGTTTAATGGTTCGTATGGTTGAAGTCCAAGGAAGGATGTCCTGGCACGGTTTAGGTCTGTCAGGACGTAACAGACACGTTGATCCGCGGCGTTGAACTCCTAGGAATGGCATTGTGGCACAATTGAGCGTTCTCAGACGATTGTCTTCTAATGGACCACTTCCCGCAATGACATACGTTCTTGTAGGGACCGATGAAGAGGGACCGTGGAGGGAGCGTATGTTGCAACATCGTTGATGCGTTTTGGAATTACTCTGGTTCCCTCATCCTCCTTCTAAGACTCATCATCAGCATCAGCAGCATCATCAGCATCAGCATCAGCATCATCAGCATCTGCATCACCATCAGCATCATCATTAGCATCATCAGTTTACTCATCATCACCACACTCATCATCATCACGATCGTGATCATCACCATCATCATCATAAGCATCCTCAGCATCAGCAACGTCAGCCTCATCATCATGATCACCCTCGCCATCGTCATCCCCAGCACCATCACAACCACCAACACCAGCAGCATCAGCACCCTCATCATCAGCATCGTCATCAGCATCATCATCAGCAGCAGCATCGCCATCATCATCAACATCATCCGCGACAGCAGGGTAGCAAGGAAGCGCTTGAACGGGCAGTGTTACAGCACGTCATGCGGTTCGAGAGGAATGCCGAGATTGGGTTTACACTCGAGCGCTCAAGCCCAAACAGATGGGCGCACGTGCATCAGATTGGGCTTGGCATTCGACAAGGACGCTGAAGTTCGGCGTGCTACATGCTGCAGTATCAACTTAGTCATAATCATCAAGGTGGTCACAACCATCAACATCATCAGCATCCTTCTCAACAGCACCATCAGCATCATAATCATCATCGGCATCATCAGCAGCATCAGCATCATCACCATTATCACAGCATCATCATCAGCATCAGCATCATGATCAGCAGCAACATCAGCATTAGCGTCAGCACCATCACCAGCAGCAGTCTCATCATCATCAGCAGCATCATCAGCAGCATCATCATAATAATAAACATAAGCATCACCTCGTCATCGTCGCCATCACCACCACCACCACGGTCATCATCATCAGCAGCATCATCATAATCATCATCAGCATCATCATCAGCAACATCCTCATCAGCATCATCATCAACATCTGCATCCTCATCTTCATCTCCATCATCATCCCCATCGTCATCCTTAGCATTATCCTACTCCTGTTCCTCCTCTTGCTCCTGCTCCTGCTGCTCCTCCACGGAAGACGAGGAGAAGGTGGAGGCAGCGAAGGAGGGAGGAAAGGCGAGGGGAGGGCTTGGGAGGACGAGGAGGGTGGAAGGAGAAGGGACGGATGGGTGAAGGAGGGAGGGAGGGGGAGGCATGAAGGTAGGCGGGGAGGGAGGGAGGCAGGGAATGAGGAGGGAAGAACGAGAGAGGAGGAAAGGAAGACTGCAGGAAGGACGCCGCTCGAGGGGCCCAGGGCTCCGCAGGTCCAGCCGCTTCGTGACCTCGCGCTCGAAGTCCTCCTTCGCGTGCATCACGACGCCGTCCACCTGAGGAGCTTCAGCACTGTCGGCGGAGTGGGGGAGACAGGAGGAGCAGCAGCAGCAAAAGGAAGGGTGGGAAGGGGGAGGGGATGGAGGAGGAGGAGGAGGAGGAGGAGGCCCAGTGAGGTCGGAGGAACGGGAGCAGGAGAGGAGGAGACGGGGAGGAGGGAAGAAGCAGGAGGAGGAAGCCCAGTGAGATCGGAGGCGAAGGAGGGGGGGGGAACAGGAGGAGAAGGAGGCGAAGACAGAGGGGGAGGGGGACAGGAGAGGGAAGGAGGAGGGGGAGAGGCACCCGGCGACAGGGGCAAAGGAGGAGAGGGAGGAGGGGGGGGCGGGGAGGAGGGCGACGAGGAGGACGACGACCTCATCCAATATACCATCGTCGAAGTCCACGTCGTGGCAGTCCAACCCGTGCTCCATCAGCGCGTGCTTCTCCTCGGCCTCGAGGTCCCCTGCCTGCCCCAAGCACTGGCCCTTGAGCCTCCCCAGGGGAAGCGACGCCTGGGAGGGAGTCGGCAACGGCCAATCGATAGCAAACTCCAGGATCCTGGCGGTATCTCCCACAGACTGTGATTGTTGACATTGCCAAAGATTCCCTCGCGTGAGCCTTATAAGCAGTTGAAGCAACACAAGATGAGACAATGCTGCCATCTCCTTTCTGGGGAAACTAACCAGATGCGCTGATAGTGAGCGCCGTAGTGCTGTGCGACACACCTCGCCATCGCTGGGACGTCAATTCCCCGCACATTTGTCGGCTTCGTGCATTACTCCTTCGCAAGGTGAACCGAGATGCTCCCCGATGGTCTTCGCCGAGAACGAATGCACACGTGCGAGCGGTGCGCCGCCAGGGCACACAGCGCCGGTGGGGCGAGATCGCAGCAGTGCACAGGCGGTGGCCGCCAGGGAGGAGAGGCAGGCGGATACGTGGCGCAGCAGGCCTGGGTCGTGGGTACGTCTCCCAGAAGGGAAACGCACACCAATGCAGTCTGACCTAGAACAGAAGAGCATCCCTCAAGAACATGAGGCGCTCCGCCGGCCCCAACACCCAGCACATCCGAGCGTACCCTCTCCCAGGATGATCGAGAGCATCCAACAAGCACGAAGAGCATCAGGGTACCCTCCCCGTACCGACCTCGATCTTATACCTCGGTCCGACTGTACATCTCCTAGAAGGGAGACGACAAACCAACATCAAGCACCCCCGAAGATGGGCCGCAATTCTGGCATCGGGCATCGGAGGACCGTTGCCCCGTCACCAAGCCTTCTCGTCCCACGTCACCATCTGGACGGGCCACAGCTGGAACTTGTCCAGAGGGCCCGGGATGTTCAACACCCTCCGCGTCACGTCGTTAATCTTCAGCAGAATCCATGGCATGCGAGCATCCGTCGGCTTCGCCTTTATAAACTTGTCGGTCTCCTTCACCTCCTCGGGGAGGGAATCAAACACACATTGCATATCCACAAGAATGTCCTCGCAACGAATACCAGAACACCTGCTCTCCTCGCATCACCCATGGAGGAAATGAGAACGGTGGGAGATGAATGCGAACGGGCACGGAGAGGAGCTGAAGAGACAGTATGAGGAAGAGGGGCAAAACGCGGGTACGCAGAAGACGAGGGAGGCCAAAGAGATACGGGAAAGGAGAAGAGATAGTATGGCAAAGACAAGGAATACGGAAAGAGCAAGGAGTGGAGATCAAGTGCAAGACCAGCAGCCCCAAGGCTCAGTGATCGGAAATTCCGGATTGGGGGCATAGGAAACAGCATCCACGGCGGGACACCAAGCAGACGGTGAGGGCATTGGATAAAGAACCATTGGATGATGGTACTGCGGAGCGCCACACACCACGGAGACGCGGAAGTACGACGAGCTGTAGCAGACGGGTCCTTGAGTATATTGTTGTACGCGGATGACACCTTGCTCGCGGGTCGCAATCCACACCATCTACAAAGTCTGTTGGGCGCGATTTCTAAAGCAGGTGCACGAGTTGGCATGGAACTACATTGGGATAAATTTCAACTCATGCCGGTTCGTTGCGACATGTCGCTCTTGACGCCCTCTGGCGAGCAAATCCCAGCAAAAGACACAATGGTCTACCTCGGGGCCACGCTTTCAAACTCTGGCCAGCTGCGCGGGGAGTTGGGAAAGAGGTTAGGAGCCGCATGGGGTGAGTTCTGCAGACACAGCCGCGCCTGGAAGCATGCGGCAATCAGTACTACCAGAAAGCTTCAAGTATTTCAAGCGCTGGTGACTAATAAGGTCATGTATTCGCTGAATTCGGCATGGCTCAACAAAGCTGAACGCAGAAGATTAGACGGTTTCCAAGCGAGGTGCCTACGTCGAATCCTGCGCATTCCTCACGCATACATTTCAAGAGTATCTAACGAACAAGTGCTCTTGCAAGCAGGCCAACAGCGCTACACAGTGCAACTTCTGAGGCATCAGCTGTTGTGGTATGGGAAAGTATGTAGGGCGACAGACTTTGATTTTCTGCGCCGCCTCACCTTCCAACCCGGAAGCGCGCGGCCAGCTACAGACGCATGTGCCCGAGCACGAGGCCGGCCAAAAAATGCATGGGCGCAGTGCTTGTACAAAGTTGTCGCACCGCATTTTTCTTCGGACGAGGCAATAATGCAGCGCGTATGTGAGCCAGCAGCCTAGCGGAGATTTGTGATTGATGTTGCGTGTCTCCCTCCTCCTCCTCCTCCTCCTCCTCCCCCTCTCAACCCTTGTCCTCAAGCAGCGCACGGTGTGAATTAAGAGGCAGCCGACGTGCAGCCGCCCCCGCAAAGCGGTGAGCCTTGGCTGGCATGGTCCTCTTTTGCCCTCGCGCTCTGGCGTATGGCATTTCGTTCGTTCGGATGATAAGGAATCCAAGGTCTCGAAGCCGGTGGAACTCCAATCTTGGATTAGCATATCACCGCCGCCCTCATCAGACAAGGAATCCTCCAGGGTCGGAAGCTGGACACACTCCTTGACGAACACCCACCCCCTAGCCTACAGAATAACAGTGTGGGTTGAGTTCGAACTTGGCCTGCAGATTGGCTGTTCGACCTTGAGAGTAGGATCCCGCGAGTGGGACGGGAGCTACTTGGGGAGGGCCAGGCAGGGTGCGATGCGGGCGGCACCAACCACTACGAGCAGACAAACTAGATCGTCTGAACTGCAGATCTGCTGCGTCGCATCTCTGGCTTGCGCTGCAACTTATTCCGCTGCAGTTCAGCTGATCGAGCTTGGGCTCAGGATTCCACGTGTGGGGCAAGAGTGTGGCGAGGCTCACGGAGGATGTGATGCGCACGGCGCCAACTAGCACGACCAAACGATCAAATAGGTATGCGTTACGTGTCCTTGTGTGATACAGCTGTTTGTTGCGATCCATTTTGGCTGATCGAGCTTGGATTTCGGATTCGCGTGTGGGATGACTGGTTAGGGAGGTTCTTGGAGGGTGCGATCAGCACGGCGCCAGCCGTTCCGAACGGAAACTGACAAATTCTTATGCGTTGGGTTCTTGCTTGCTCGCTGCCGCTTCTGAAGTGCGACCCAATTCGGCTGCCCGAGCTGGGGCTCAGGATTCCGCGCGGGGGACGGGAGTGGCTCGAGGAAGCTCGGCGACAGCGCGGTGCCCACCGCGCTGCCCACTGCGAAAACAGGAGAAGCATCGCCTGCTGCCATTGCTGCGCCGAGTGGCAGCTCGGCTGCTCGAGCCTTCGGGCGCAGGGTGCGTGCGCGAGAGCGGAGTGGCCTGGTGAGGCTCGGGGAGGCCGAGACCCACGTGGCGCGATCTGCCTGGCCGGAGCTGACCTGCTGGGTCTGCATGGCCCGGCTGATGTGATTTGCTTTGCTTTTTTGTTGCGTGTTGTATGTTGTTTGTTATGTGTGCTGTTTGGTTGCGTGTGTTGCTTTATTGTTTTTGCTTGCTTTACTTGTTTTCGTGCTTGTTATACTGTTGTTTGTTTTACTGCTGCTTGCTTGTTATTAGTGTTTGTTTGTGTGTTTGTTTGTGTTTTATTTGTTCGTTTTTTTTTTTATAGGTGTTGTTGCTTGTTTTACTTTGTGTTTGCTTGTTGTATTGTTTGTTTGTTGTTATTGGTGTTTGCTGATGTATTTTTGTTGCCTGGCTGGTGTGAATGGTCCGCTGGGCTTGGCTGGCCTGGCTGACCGTGCCACGCCTGGCTGCTTTGCCCCGGCGCCCGTGCCGCTGCTCGTGCCGTCCTCTCGCCGCCGGGCAAGGCTGCACTTGGCCTCGCCGGCGTGCCTGGTTCAGGACGCTATCGCTGCTCTGGCGAGGCGGCTCGTTTTGCCCAGCTCGGCTATGAGGAGAACAAGCACCGTGCTGGAAGAAGAAGGGGCTGGGAGGAGGGAGGGCAGGAGCACCAGCATTCGGATGCCATGCACGCTACCCTCGACCGCCAACGGGGTAACGATGTCCTCCTTTCTCCCAAACCCAGCCTCCCAGACCCCCGACGTCATGATTGTTTCATGACGCGACCCCCAGAGGCCTCGACACATCCGCTGGGACTGGTGGTTCATCCCGAGTCGTTCTTTGACGGTCCCGAGGGCCGGTAAGGGCCCCCAAAGGCCGAAAATGACGAAAAACCTCCCGTCGTGATTTTTTCATGACTCGAGGGGGTCTGGGCTCCCAACACGAAAACAGTCTTCCTGAGAATACCGATCCCTCGCGTCGGGCTCCGAGGGGGGGAGGATGTGCACGGAGCCGCCCCGGACGGGCTCGAGCTGGCCTGGCCGGCCGGGCCGCTCTGGCTGGTGGGACTGGGCCCATCGATCTGGCTAGTGGCTATACTGAGGCTGCTCTGTGTTTAGGTCGGGCATGTCCCCCTAAGTACAGGCGGATTTTGGACGAACAAAAAAAAATATACGCCAAGAATACCCCAAAAATATCCCCCCCAAAAAAAAATGCAAAAACAATGGTCCCCTGACTATGTTTTGCCTATGTTTGAAGATTCCTCCTGTAGAGCGACAGGCCCGACTTAACTCTGCGTGGCGAAGGTGTCACCACCACCAGCATACTGACGAGGAACAGCCCGGGGCTCTCGGGGGGCCCCCCCCCCAGACCTCCGACGCTGCGACCTCTTCACTGCGTGGGCTCCCAAAGCGCCCCGACCTCGTGCCGGAGACCCGACCCATCGCCGCCAGGGCCGTTCTGTCAACGGTCCGTGGGGCCCCAAAGAGAGGCCTGGGCGGACCCCGAGGCCGCCCGGAACACGCGCGCCGTTTCAGTCTGTCGATTCCGCCGCGGCGCCCGGGGGGGGGGTCCGAGAGTCCTGCGAGTGCCCGAGCGCCGAGGTGCCCACGTCGTTCGGGTGGAGGGTGCACACGATGACGCGGTCGGAGCCCTTCCTCGGCGTGGGTGGGCGGGCCCTGGGCCCCTGGATATCTTGCCCCAGGGACCAGGCCTCTCATCCCGGGCCGTCTCTCCACGGTCGGCTGCTCGTTGAGTGGCCCTCGGCAAGAGTGACCTCTGGTGCGCGGCTTTTTGGGGGGGGCGCGAGGGGGCCAGACCCAAGCTCGCAGGCCGATGCTGTCGCATCGCGTTCGGCGATCGCGGGGTCCCACTGGGCCCGCACCAAAGGTCAGTCCGGCGAAGGGTCACTCATAGGTGTTGTCGGCACCTCGCCATCGCTCGGACGTCCATTCCCCGTGCATGCTTCGATCTCGCGCATGTTCCTCGCCAAGATAAAATGCACACGTCCGAGAGATGCCGAGCTCTTCTTCACCGTGGCGTCCTCTCGGCGATGGCGACCACCTTGGCGAGCTTCGGCCGGTCGCGGTTGCGGCCGCGCCTGGACGAGGCCGCGCCGGCCGCGGCCGTCTCGGGATCCTGCCGCGGTGCCCCTTCTGCTCTTCCTCCTCCTCCTCCTCCTCCTCCCTCCCTCCTCCTCCTCCTCCTCCTCCTCCTCCTCCTCCCTCCTCCTCCTCCTCCTCCTCCTCCTCCTCCTGCTCCTCCCCCTCCTCCTCCACCTCCTCCTCCTCCCTCCCTCTGCCCCTCCTCCTCCTCCTCCTCCTCCTCCTCCTCCTCCTCCTCCTCCTCCTCCTCCTCCTCCTCCTCCTCCTTCTACTTCTCAGCAGCAGCAGCAGCATCATCCCTCCCCACAAATGAACAGCTCACCCATGTCGCACCACCAGGATGTGTCGGCAGGGCGGGCTGTGCGTCTCGCCTCGCCTCTTCGCCGCTTACGGCCCAGAAGCTTGGCATCTCCAACATTAAGTCGGGCATGTCCTCGTATAGGCGCATTTGGGAGGAACCAGAAAAATTAGAAATGATGTTTCAAAATAGCCAAATTAGTCAGGGATTCGTCCCTATAATATGTTTGTACCATTCTTGAATATTCCTCCTGTAGAAGGACATGCCCGATTTACTCCCAACCCGGACGGTAGCGCGGCCCACACCCTAAAGAGGCCGTCCACTTCCTCGGCGGACTCTCGACGCTGTTGTCCTCGGTCGCCGCCGTCTTGTGACGCTCTGGCCGTGCGGCTACTCGGAATCCCGCTGGATCCTCTCCTCCTCGTCCTCATTCTCCTCATCCTTCTCATCCTCCTCCTCCTCCTCCTCCTCCACCTCCTCCTCCCTCTTCTCCTCCTCCTCCTCCTCCTCCTCCTCCTCCTCCTCCTCCTCCTCCTTATCCTCCTCCTCCGCCTCCTCCTCATCCTTCTCCTCATCCTCCTCCTTCTCCTCCTGGTCACCCTCCAGAGGATCGGATGACGCCTCGATGTCCAAGGGAAAAGCAGTTCGTCGACGACCTGGGTAGGGACTGGGACTTTCTTCGGTCCTGTCCGCAGCTCTCCGAGATCCAGGTCAGAGCACGCGCTCGTGGGGCGATTGCCCGGGAGGTGTAGGACCGCCAGAGCGACTTCGAGCCTCGGAGAGGCAGTGCTTTCTGGCAGCCGATCGGGGCCCTTCTCACCCGGCCGACCTCGGAGCCCTGGCACAGCCGCCACCGCCAGACGTTGAAAGGCGTCATCTCCAACATCTAGTGGACCCAATCTGGGTATGCCATGCACGCCGACGGCGTCGACTCGGCTTGAAGGTTGTGCAAAGGAGCTCGAGGCACTTTCCATCCTCAGAGGTTTTGCTGCCAGGCTTACCCAAGCCGGAGGAGGGGACACAATGGAGGCGGTTCGAGCAGGTCGGCGAGGAGATTGACAGGACGTCCAGCAGATGGGCAGTTGTTTGCCAGGGCCCTATTCCCAGACCCAAGCGTGTGGTTCGGGAGGCCCTCCAGAGACCCCAATGGCTCGTACTCCTTGTCCTCCTACCGGCTCAAAGACGATCTGCTGCCGATCCAGAAAGGCATGACTGTTTTCACCGACTGGTCCTGTTTCCAGGTTGAACGTTCCTTTGCTCAGGACGGCTGGGTGGGCTAGTGGGGTTGTCAACCACAACGGGGCCCTTCTCCATGGGCTGCCTCAGACCAGTCTGCTGGGGACGGAGAAGACTTCGCGGTTCGCACGCTAGGACCACATGCCACCACAGAGAAAGGATGGAGGTGCAGATTGACTACAAAGCGACGGTCTCCGTTGCCTCCCGCCTCCAAGGCTCAGCCAACGAGAACCAGGCCAGGTGTCATTGGTGGTCCGACGTGCAGGAGGCCCTGGAAGGGGCCAGGTTCGTCAAGGTCGATGCGTACCAGTCCCAGAGAGCTGTTCAAGAAGGTCTGACTACCCACCAGCAGCTCTAATAGGCATGCCGATTGCAATTTGGTGCTCCGCCATTCCGCCCGCCCCCAGGCCCAGGCGGTTGGTCGTAGAGGGGTGTGCTGCGCTGGCTCGGGAGGCGGCTCGCTCTGCGACGTCCCAGCAAGCGATGATCGGGCCATGGCCCGAGCACGGCGGCCTGGAGTGGCTCACCACTGCCCCTCTTGAGGCCATCCCTGGTGTGTGGTTGTTTTGATGGGCCCGCTTCCCACCACCACCACCACCATAAGTTGGAGGGGGGAAGGCGGTGGAGGACGAGGAGGAGGAGGAGGAGGAGGACGAGGAGGAGGACGAGGAGGAGGAGGAGGAGGACCCCCTCCCCCTCCAACTTCTGGCGGTGGTGGTGGTGGAAAACAGGCCCATCATGCTCCGTTTTTGTCCTGTGTTTTTTCGCCGTGCTTTTCTGGTGCTCGTTCCGCTGGATCCCCTCCGTCGCCCTCCCCCGTGAGGCCCAAAGGGGCCCTCCGCCTCCACCCAGGGAGCTCTCCCCCCGAGGCCCCGCCCGACCGGGAGGAACCCTGGGGGGAGGCCCGGGGCCTCTTCGGGGTCGCCGCCCGTGCTGGGCCGATACCTGCAGGGCGGAGGACTCAAATTTCGGTCGGGCATGACCTCCTACAGGCGGATGTGGGACGACAGATTTTAAAACAAATCCAAACATATGCCGAACAAATGCAAAAAAGACGGAACATATCGTCCTCAAAAAGACGGAAAATCGTCCCCAGACTATTTGTGCGGCTGCTCTATGTTTAGGTCGGGCATGTCCCTCCCCCTACAGGCGGATTTTGAACGAACAATAAGACATACTCCAAAAATACCCCCCCAAAAAAAAGAACAACCAATATTTTTTCATATAAAAAACCAGGCTATGGTTTGACTATTTCTGAATTTTCCTCCTCTGGGGGGACAGTCCCGACTTAAACTTAAGTTCGGCTAGCGCCCTCCTCGTGTGGTTATGCATGTGGCTCGCCATCGCTCGGACGTCCACTCGCCGTGCATTGTGCTCCGTGCTGTGCCTGTTTTTGTTTGCTGTTGCTCGATGCTCCGGGCTGCTCCTCGATGGTCCTCTCGCCCCCAGGAAAATCGGGGGCGGCCAAGAGGGGGGCGTCCGAGAGGGGGGGGGTTCAAATCATGACCGGCGGCACGTGCGTGGCCCAGGGGGGGGGGCTGGGGACGCAATGAAATAAGAAGAGGCGCCACGAAATCTGAGGCCCACGCCATGATAGCCCCCCCCCCTAGTCATCACCCCCCTCTTTGCCGACCCCGAACAAAGGCACACGTCCGAGCGGTGCCCCGCCGCCGCCCGTGGCCGAGGTCTGCGGTGCGGAGGCCGCAAGTTCGGCTGGCTCCCTCCCCGTCCGTTCTTCCCGTTGGAGCTGCGCTCGCGGCTCCCACGAGATGCCCGCCAGAGGGGGGAAGTCACGAGCAGTGCACTGGCAGACCCAGCAGAGAGACCGTCGTGAGACGGTTGACCTGTGTCTGGCGGGGCACTTCCCCGGGCATGGGGATCGCAGAGCAGCTCTCTCGGAAGACTCGCCACTAAGTCCTGGTCCCAGGTCCCGGCTCCCTCCCTGGCCTCGCTTGGCCCATTCTGGGCCAAGGAAGGGACGGGCCTCAGGGCCCTCGATTCTGAGAGAGGTCTGCAACTTTTCGGGCTTTCGTGGGAGGAGGTCGTCGTGCCGGGCAAGGCCTCTCGCGCGGCCAAAGCAGCAGCGTCAGAGCAGGAGGCCAAGTGTGACGCCAGTACGCCCCTGCCCCGAGCCCCGTGATTGAGGTCATTCCCCCTTTTTTGTCCAGCAGGTCTATACTAGGAGTGTCAGCATGTGGTAGTGCATCGTAGGTGAAACCTGTGGCGTCGGGTGCGGGTTTTGCAACCGACTCGGGCGGTCGGGTCGCGGGTTTGTCAACCGGCGCCTTTGTTTGAGGCTTGGATGATCTCGACTTTGGCGAAGATGATCGCTTCCGGCGGTATCCAGGCATGCCCGGCACCTTGGAGACACATTGCAACAATCTCTCGATGCGTTGGTCTGTGAAACCGAGCATGTCGTGTCGAATCCCGCGCACGTTGGAGGCGGACGTGTATTGCTTTTTGTCGCGATCAGGAAGCATTGGTCGTATCGTCCTCATACGCTTGTCGAAAAAAACTTATATGGCACAGTCCAAGTATCCTGACCGCATCCCAAGTAGTGGCCGTACTTTGTTGGAGGGCCCAGTTCAATACCACTGTGCCGTATCAGGTCCCATCCTTTGCTGATGTTGTCAGTGGGTCCTGCCATTTTGAAGTCGTCGACGTAAACAGATAGGATAAGGTCGAGCGTATCGTGCTTCCAAACGCATTCCCATCCGGGAATGGGAGTAAAACCCACTGATTCGAGACTGGCACGGCAGTGTCGTTCCCAGAAGACCTGCAAGTGGGTGGCCATACAAAGCAACCCGGAGACGACATACTGGGTTCTTCTACTTTGCCCAAAATGAGGGTTGTCTCAACTTGGGTACAGTAATCCACGTATCCACCGGGCCAATACGGCCGCCACCGCACAACAGCGCCTGTGTATACGCACCCGGAGCGTCGCTCTGTTGACCTCCGCTGCCAGGAAGGAGCGCTGTGGCATCGCATAGCTAGGAGGCCTCGATGTGAGAGGCACTGGAGGCAGCGTCGGCGAAGACGGCTGCAAGGCCACTCTGGTCTTTCATGTTGTCGCCCTGGACCACGACGCGCCCTTTATATTTCTGAAGCTCACGGGTAGCTTTGCGTGTTCGACAGAAGGGAGCCCCAAAATTTTCGCGAAGTGGACCTTCTTGTTGTGTGTTCGGGCGTCGCGGACAACATCTTCTCGTTCCGTCACCGCGTCGATCATCCAAATCGGTTTCTTCTCCAGACGTTCATATCCTTTTCGAAGCGCATCTTGTGCTCGAGGTTCGGCCGCGACCTCTTCCTTGGTGAGGTTACGGGTGGCGAGGTTGCGCGTGACGATGTCAGGCCTTACCCAGTGGGTAGAATCCAGTTTGCTCCTATGGCTTTGTGCGTGGTCCTGAAGACATGGCATCATAGGCACAACGTGGGACTTGTCGGTCATAACGGGAGATCGCACAACGCCTGCAGGGATTGGCATGTGGCGCTGGGCGGTA